AAAGCGAGGCTCCGCGGCTTGCAGCCGCCGGGCCTTGCTGGTCTCTCCCCCCCCGCTTCAAAGCGAGGCCCGCAGCTTGCAGCCACTGGGCCTCGCCGGTCACTCGCTCCCCTCCCCCCCGCACTGAAGCGAGGCAGTTCGCAGAGCGTGCCCTGCGCATGCACAGGGGATGCTCTTTTAGTTTGGGGGGGATTTAAATATCCCCCCTATATTTTTTACAGGTTTCAGATTTTTGTGCACACCTGGGGACTGCCCCAAGTGTGCACGAAAATCTCCCTCCCCCTCCAGCTGCCCCCGATGCGCGGATTTAGATATCCGCATGCAGGGGGCACCTTTCGCTATTAGATATATAGATATTAGCCGTTTGTAAGTGAAAGATACAAATGTGGAAGTAAAGTCTCACATACCTTATGTTACACAATAGCCGGTGTCCAAGGTCACACAATGGGGGCCCGAAAATGTTGCACACAGGGATCTGTGGAGTAGTGTCAACAACTGGGCAGTCTGCAAAGTCATTTTATGTTGGATGTCTGTGTCATTCAATGTGGTTGTGGTCGCACTGACCACCCTGTCAGAGCAGAGGACTCAAGGGAAGGTGGGTTGAAAGTGAGTGGTCGTGATGAAAGTCTCAGTAGGTTATGTGGGAGTGAGAAGGAGGAGCCTTGGGAAATGAGTGTTGTGAAATGTCTATAGTTTTGAAAGTTGTCTTTTACGGAAGAGAAGTGTGGCTGAGGAATGTTTTCCAGCAAGATATTTTAGGGCTTGATGGTTTCAGGGAAACAGGAAGGCCGGCCATGGGGCTCCCACAGGTCCCGCTGGCCCAGGTAGGCCGGCTGCGGGCCTCCCCCCCCAGACAGGCCCCACTGGCTCACCTCAGAATCCAGCTGGGGGGGGAGATGGGCCCTACCTGCTGCAAGGCTCTCCTGAGGGCTGAAGAATGGTCAGCAGGCAAATGGTACGATGGTATAATGAGACACAGCTGGGTCTGGTTGAGTAATTGTTCAAAGAGAATAGGTAGAAGAGCAATTGTTATTCTAGCTTTCATCTGCTTAAAAGAGGGAAGTGTGAACTTGTAATGAACAATAGAGAACAAATACCAAGCTGAATTTATTATAACTCTGATGAAAGTTTATAATTTGTGGTCAAAACACATTAACAGTCTCTATATGTATGTTAAATGATTTGTTGTTGTTCAGTCGCGCAGTCGAGTCCGACTCTTCGCGACCCCATGGACCAGATCCCGACAATTAATTGTTAAATGATACCTACAGAGAAAATCCATTATACATAGGTTATGTTATGTTAGTATATCATATTGTGGAAAATTGTACTGTCTTTTCCTTTCATGCTTAAAAATCAATAAAAATACACAAAGAAAGAAAGGCAGACCATAAATAACGTAAATAAATTTTAAAAATTAGTTCAAGATTTCTTCAGACTTTGTCAGCTAAGAACAGCATACAGCATATCCAGACACATGATACTGGTGAAGAGGACACAGTTTCTACTAGATCTAACCTTTGAAATTTGTCTTTATACTTGTTTCTTGGGCTGAGTTCATCTGTTCCAAAGCTTGCTCCCTGCCGAAGTGTGACTGTCAGTGGCAACAACCTGTCTAACATTATCTTGACCACTGAAATAGGACAAAAGTCAAACAGCTCTTGTTCACAGTCCATTTATTTTACTCTTCCTCTCTCTGCCACGATATCCCCGCCCCCTAATCTCTGCTGCACTGCCTGCTAGACAGGGTTCCAAAAATAGTTAGCAAATTTTAGTTTTGTCTTTCAACTCACTGGATAGAACATGCACAGAAACTGTGAGTGGGAGGATGTGGGCTATTAGTCATTAAGGAAGCATAACTCCACATCAAAGTCAAACAAACCCATCTGGATGGAACAAACTCATGCTAAATCACTGGGGACTGATAACTGGCAAACATGAAGGCCCAAAGCAGAGGCAATGAGGGTTACTGTAGAACTAGATCAAAGGAAATCTGACAAAATAGTGTAATTGATGCAGCACTGTGAGAACGCAAAGAGCACTTGGAAAGCTGTAAAGAATCCTGCTACTTAGCCACCCTCTTCCTGTTTGTCTCCCAACATTATTTAAACCACCTGGCCTTTGTTCTTCTGCTTGAATGATTTACGGTGCCATTCTTAACAGGTGTGGTTCTAAGACCATTGACTTCATTCCCCTTAGAAGGGGGTTACTGCTTAGGATAGCACTGTTACTTCCTTGGTCTGCTGTTTCTTCAGTACAATGCTTCTCCAGTACCATAGAGGCAGGGACGTTCTGATTATTTGGATGCAGAAGAAAATGCTCTGCCTGCTCTTCTACAACCTCTGGTGTAACAAAAGTGCACTGCACTTAAAAACATAGTAAGAACTGTTCTGGTTGACTGGACAAGCCCAGCATCCCAATAATGACAGTTGTCAATCAGATCTCATATGGTGCACAAGCAGGGGTACAGAAACTCCCCATTTTGTTATCTCTTAGCAACTGGCATTCGGCGATTTAGTGCCTTTGAACATGGAAATCCCATTCAGCTTACCTTCACTAGTGGTCATCACTATACACAATGGCAGTGAGTTCAAAAAGTTATTCATGTGTTATAGAAAGTACTTCCTTGTACAATGTACTTCCTTTTGTCTGTCCAGAATATCTTCTCCACACCATGCCTAATATAATAAAATGCTATCATACCCTCGCTTTTTAAAAAGCCCCAAGCTCCTAGGAAGGTGCTCCAGCCTTTTAATTTTTCTGCTGCCATTTTCTGCACCTTTTTCAGCTCTATAATATTCTTTCAGGGACAGGATCACCAGAACTGTACTGAGTGGTTAAATCCCATGATCAGTTAACAGAAGGCACTGACTATTACCCTGGTGTTCCCCTCCAAACAGTAGCCATTTTCGACCCCAGGGAGGTTTATTTCTGGAGGCACTGAACCCAAGTGTAGGAACAGCTGTGTGAGTTAGGAGGCTGATGTGTGAAGGGGCCAAAAATGCTCCCTCTTGCTTGAGTGAAGCGCTACTCAGGGGAGAGATTTCAACCTTTCTGTCTTCCCATTTGTATCCTACCAACCCATGTGGGCTGCTAGTCCACATGGGCTAACTCTAACATTTCCCAGGGTCAGAAATGGATGTTGGGGGGAGAAGAAGGCCAGGAAGATCAGGGACCCTTGGACAGATTAAACATGTTTTTTGTGCTAGATCAAACCCAGTATTTCAAATGTAGGCTCAGCACAGATCTAATTGATGCCACCAAAATCTGTAAGAAATCCTGCTGCATTTCTGATGGCTGTTGTTACACCAGGGCAATGCATTTTGAGAAAGACTTTTTAGGACATTGAAATGTCAATAAACAGTGGTATCTCAATACATTCTACTGCCTGAGGCCACTTATTACAGCATAGGCTGTCTTATAAACTTTTGCAAGATTCTTGCCACTTTGGAGAGTTAGGCTATTATTTTGGCAATGTAGGTGACTAAAATGATAGCACAACTTTTGCAAAGGTTTGTGAAGCACTTCATGGCTTGCTGAGCTACTTTAAAAGTGGGCTGGGGGAAAGAGGACATGGAAGATTTGCTGCCCCAACTCCCAGGTGGAGGCAGAGGTAGGAAGCAGAGTTAACATGATAGCAAGTTAGCAATGGGTGGGGATGGGATGTTACACCCCCCCCCCCTAAAATCCACTGCTTCAGTTTACCTCATGGTACAACCTGTCAGAAAAGCAATGAACTCATTAACATGCTTTTTTGTTGACGTCCTTGACTGTGCTCCATCATAACTGCATCCTTTGTCTTTAGTTCATTTAGCTTTGTCTTTAGCTAGTACGCTCCTTCGTCTTTAGCTCATTTTCTTCCTCTGTGTTCAGTATCACAATGAAATTTCCAACCATAAAGTACCTGTAGAATGCAGTCAGCATTTTATAAGCCTGGTAGAGCAGGGTAGAATTTGTTTTAATTGAGCTATACGCTGTGGTTTTAATCATCATTTTATCTCTTAATCGTTTTTTGTTCCATTACGCAAGATGAGAGAAGTTCTGTGGCAGAAATATTATTGAACCAGACCCTGGAAATTCCATGCTTTAAAGGCATGAATTCTTCAATCCTGGCTAATGCTACTTTGAAATGGCTAATGGTAAGTAACATTTTCTCAGGCAGTGATAGCGAAAGGAAATTATATATGATCAAACACAAACAGAAATATTCAGCTTCAACTGTGTGGCTGAAGTATCTTTTATGAAAAGGGATGGATCTGTTTTTTAGTTCTAGGATGCAAATTTCTGTAAGACAGTAGGAACATTGCAAAAATAATGTAGAACTGCCACATTTGCCAGATAAGTGGGGAGCAGCAATACCCATGATAACAGCCTTTGGGGACCATCAAAGAGAGTAACTGTGGCCCTAGCTATACAATACATGGATCCTTGGCTATGGGTTTTGTGGGAGAAAGAAGGTGAAGGATAGGAGCAGTCCTGTGACATCTTGAAAATCAGTTGTCTTTTGTTGGGATGGTATTTCATGGACAGTAGCCTACATTATTGTCATATTTTACAATGAGAACCCTTTCCTAGGAGTAAGCCCCAATGGATAGACTTAAGTAGGACTCTGAGTGGACCTGTTTCGATTGCACCTTTAGTGCTCTAGCAGTTATCAGCCTTCCAGAATCCATAAAGTTATATAGCAACCCTCACCCATGGTATATAACAAGGAGCCATTAGATTGGTGAAAAGATTTGATGTGCCTGTTGTTCAAACTGATTCCCTTCCTTGGAACGACAACAGAGGCTAAATTACTGGAAAAACTGTATGCCTCTTCTCTGCTTTAATTATTTTGTTTTTTTAAAAAAAATTTTCTCTTGCAACAAAGCTGCAACAGCCTGTGTCTGCTGCTATAGGGTACTGATGGGGTATGAAAATGTAAATATTAGAGAGTATAGTCTAATACACAGCAGCATTATGTTCATTTATAATTCATACATGTCTTATATTTTCTTATAAATATTCTAATTCACACTTCAACCACTCTTCATCAGAATTTTTGATGTCTTTCTTCATCCTTAGTGATGAATGTGAGGTGTGTATGTGTGGGGACTCCAATTACAATTCCTACCACCTCCATTACAAATACAGAGACAAGTCAGTGATGCATGTTGAAAGGAAGGAAATTTCAGAACGAAGGAGCAAAATTCTCTAGTGTTAAATTGTGTTGTTTTCTAATATGTCTTTCAGAAGACCTTGTGAAAGATGATCAGATCCAATACATACAGACAAAAATAAAAATCCCAAGGTTTGTAAAGTAAATTGCCTATGGGCAACTGAATAGGCATGGTGGAGCTAAAGATTTCACCTGTCTCTGTTCTTGAGGATGGCAGTGAATTGTCTGTCTGTATCTCTTTCTGTTATCCTATTGGGGATTGTTTCTTAGCCTATAAAGCCCTCTCAAGTTCCTAGCCTGGTTTCATATGGTTAGTCCTGGTCTTTACTAGGGCAACAATCCTTTTTCACTGAGTTTTCTGGATTCTAATCCCGCCCTCCATTCTCTGTTTCTCTGCTTTTTGATAGTTCAAGCCCTCTTACTTATTACCCTGCTAGCTCTCTTTGGTGGTCTAAAATTTAGCATCACAGCAGAGCACAGAGCTCAAAAAATAAACTGTAGGGCAGTGATCCTCAGCACTGGTACAAGGTGGCTGCCAGTGTGTTACCTGGTGTCCCTTGTTTTAGCTCTAAAACAAACATCCAGCCCTGGCCTTTCTCTACTTCAATGATTAGCAGATGACTCAGAGGGGCCTAGGAAGCATCAGGGAAGACCCATTTGGAAACAGCTGCCTTCATCATAGCCCAGGATGCTTGTCTTGGAACCTCCTAACTTTATGACCTGCAAGGTCCCTTCCAACTCTAACATTCTATGATTCTATGTGGAACCTTCCAGTGTTTTGTGATTCGATCCAGCCCATATAGTAGACTTTGGCCCCGGGCACACGGGCCGGCTGAAACGCGGCTACGCAGAGCCGCTCCAAACTTGAGACGCCGCGGCGGGATCCCACGGATCCCCTAGCCGCGGCGCAGCACTCCCCGGCACGCTCAGATGCCGGGGAGGAAAAGTCCGAGGGGAGGGGGGAGGCTGCCGAACTGCGCCTGCTCGGGCATGCGCAGTACGGCTGGGGGGCGGGATGCGGCGGTGCAAGGACGCGCCGCCGATCCCACAGCCCTGCCTGCGCTGCACCAATGGATGCAACCACCTAGAGAGGTGGTTGTTTTTTGCGGCGCAGTTTGGGCCGTTGGGACGGATCAGGGACGGAGACGGCACGCTCGCCAGATGTTGAGGTGAGATTGCGCCTGTTTGCTCCGCCCCAGTTCCGTCCCGCTCCCGGCCCAAATGGGCTCGTATGAACGGGGCCACCGTTATGGTACCCACTACCACAAATTCCAAAATTCCAAAAACACCCACAAGTTCTACAGAACTGGGGGGACCCCTGCCATAGTTAGAGGGGAGTTCATTGTGGACTCCAGGAAAGTGAGCAAAACATAGCTGTGTCACAATTCATTTCCACAGCTATGAGGTTGCTAACAGTTATTCTTACAGGTGAAGGAGACTAAGTAAACTCAGGACTTGTTCATACTTGTTTTATAAGAGCTGATAAAACTACTAATTATTCCAAACAGGTTAATAGTGTTGATTTTAAAACAAAATAAAATTTACAAGGATGTTAGATGGGAATAGGGTAACTGACATATATTCTCTTTTTAAGCAGAAAGGAACTGGAAATGAAGAGATACTTATAACCGAACAGCCTTTTTACCCTCCTGGGCACGGAACCAATGACACAATATATAAGGAAAGAATTCATGTGGGTCCAGAGAACACACTGAGGATATCACACGTCTCCATTCTTGACGATAGCAAGAAATTTGTCTGTTATCTCCCTGGAATGAAGAGCACCACTGAAGTGAAAGTATTTGGTAAGGAGGAATAATACTAGTAAAAGTAACTTAGTTACAAAGTTTTCAGTGGGCAATGCTGTTTTTAGAATTTTTTTGTAGAAGTTATTTTGGTTGGGGTTTTTTAAGTGCTAAAGTCCATACTACACATTATGTATACCACATGATCACCACAGAAATTTGTAGCCATACAGCAGCTATGAGCTTCCTGTGGGAACTTAGTTTGGAATTCTCACAGGGGCCCAATTCAGATCAGCCACTGATCTCTCTATATAATAATTGTGTTTTGGGGTGACACTTTGCAGCTCTCCCATTGGCTGTGCAATGCACTCCCTCAGCCATTGGCCCATCAGACGCCACTCAAGAGTACTCGCGTGCCATTGGCTGGGTGCTGGGTCTGCTCCTCTTCCCTGCCCACTCCCCCTTCAGCCACTGTGCACTGTCAGAATTACTGGCAAATGGCTTTCTCTCTTGACGAAGACACGTCTCCTGCTTGCCTCCTGTGTGGGACTAATTTTTACTTCAGTGGCTGTTGGTAGGTGTAACAAAATGGCAGTTACCTGTGTTTGCAAGATGGCTACCATGTGGTTGTTTGTTTAAAATGTCCCCCATAAGGTTTAATTGAGCTGTCGTTCCAGAGAGGGGCCTGCAGGGGTATCACTCACTGGGTTGAATGGGGTTTCCTCATCTGCTGGCCTACAGTTCCCAGCTGACCCAAGCCCAAAAAGTGCAGGAAAAGAGGGACTGTCCCAAGGGGCAGGGCAGCATCAATATAGACTCCAGCCTAGAGATGTGCATTCGGTTCGTCTGAATCAAATGCACCCCTGAAAATGGCCCGTTCGGGCCACTTTTGGGCTGCTGTGGGCCGATTCAGATTCTCTGATCTGAATCGGCTTGCCACTGAATTGCCACCAAATTATATCCTATGGGCCACTGAACTCAATGGCGAAAACATAAGGTATATTCTGGGGGCTGGAGGGGAGGGGGTTTTAGAGAGAGGTTCCAAACTCACAGGATAGCTGTTGGAGCCTCTACCCAAGATACCCACCACATTTCAAGAATATTGAACCAGGGGGTCCAATTCTACGGGCCCCATTCCCACCATTGTTCTCTATGGTGGGAAAAAGTTACTTTTTTCCCACCATAGAGAACAATAGAAGGGATGGGGCAACCTGTTTGGGGGCCTGTAGAATTGGACCCCCTTGTCCAATGTTCTTGAAACTTGAGTAGGGGTATCTTGAGGAGAGGCTCCAGCAGCTACCCTGCAACTTTGGAGCCTCTCCCTCCAGCCCCCTGCCCTCCAGCCCCCAGAATATACCCTATGTTTTTGCCATTGACTTCAATGGCCCATAGGATATAATGAAGCTGAAATTGACATTCGGCTGGCCAAAGACTCCCGAATTGGCTGGTACTGCTGAAATTGACATGCGGGAGTCTTTCTGCCAGCCGAAATTGATTTTGCCAGATTCAGATTTTAATTTTTTTGCACACCCCTACTCCAGCCCATCCAGGGAGGAGGCAGTCTTCGTCCTACAGGAGGTTAGGAAATGCTCCTGCTGCCTGTCCTGACAAGGCTGTCCAAGCCACAGATGTGGGGGAACCCTGGGAGGCAGCAGAAATTCAGCCACTCCACAGTCAGGTGGACTGGGGAATGAATGGAAGTTTCCCTGCTCTCTTGGGCAAGAGAGAGAGGCTGAAGCAGAGCCAGAGGCCGGTCCAAGGAGAGATCTTATCCTGAGCGCAAAACCTCCAGAGGTAGAGAGTATTGTGTGTACGGAAAGAGGATTACATTTCAAGAGGATTGCGTTTAACCCCTGTTGATTTATGTCCTGTTGGTTCATAGTGTGTGCTTACTCCTACAGTTTTACCTTATTCATTTAGTGTGTGTGTGCTCCATAATTGTGTAAATAGTTAAATTAATTCTTTTATTTATCTGTCTTGTGCCTTGACCACATAGTCTCTCCTGCTCTGCACAATACCAAAGGGAGGGGGTAGCCCAAGGAAGCAAGGAAAGGGCAGACCCTTGGGTTGCCAACTTTCCTGGGATCCCCCAAAGATTGGGGATTCCATCTCCAAATAGGGAGATTTGGCCAGAGGGGTCTCACTGTCGCACTAAAAAGGCAGTGACAATTCAGTGAGTGGTGGCAGCGAACTTAAGGAGTGAGATATGCCCACAGGACAAGGGTGGGAGGCAAACAGCTGAGTTGTAAACTGGAGCCTGTTTTGCCACAGTGGACAACCAAGCTTGGTTCAAAGGAAGGATACCCTTTGCAGGCCTTTGTGAGGAACTAATTGGGGCCAGTCCTGACTAGGGTTGCCATCTCCAGGTAGGGAGATTCCTGGAGATTTTCTGGTAGAGTCTATGGAAGCCAGGGTTTGGGGAGGGGAGAGGGAGAGAGAGCTGAACAGAATGCCATAAAGCCCACCTTCCAAAGCAGTTATTTCCTCCGAGGGGGAGAGATCTGTTGTATGGAGTTCAGTTGTGATACCTGATGATCTTCAGGCTCCACCTGGAGGTTGGCTACCCTAGGCGTAGCAGCCAGTGCTTCAGAGCAGGGTCTGCTATATCCAGGTTCTTGCTGTAGAAGCTGAGTGGGTGATTTTGGACCAGTCACAGACTTTCAGCCTAACCTACTTTGGTCCCCATTGCAGAGAAAGACTACCTTTCCTCCTGGGGAACCATTGTTGCCAATCTCCAGGTGAGGGGTGGAGATCACTCAGAATTACAACTAATCTCCAGGAGGGAGGGCTTATTCCTAGTCTTATAATACTGCTGAGAATTTTCACCACATTTTCTTTTTCTTTTGAAAAGTATGCTGGAAAAGTGTTGAGGTCCATTTTTCAAAGCCAATAAACAGCTTGTCTGTACTTTCCTATGTATAGTGCAGCAATTCCCAAACTGTATGATACTGCACGCAAATATGATTTCAGAGAACCATTAGTGCATTGACAGAAATAATAATGAATGAAAATGATTAAGAGCTCTCATGAGTTCAAAGTACCAACTCATAGAAAAGGTTGTCCATTGCACAACTTACTGTTCTGACCTTGCCTTCTCCCAATTAGTCTCCAATATAATTGGTTGCTTCTATTTGTATATACTTAATTGTATGTGATTGGATCATTCAATCATTTTGAATACTTCAGAATTACCATCCCATACAAGGCTGCTCATTGTATCTCTGCATGAGATTTGTCTCTTGACTTGTCTTCTTTCATTAAAGAGGCAGATCTAGAATTATGACACAGAGAATGTGCTTCCCTGAGTGTGCCTCAGCTGTCAGAAATTTGAGGGACACTGATATAATATACTGTGGGATCTTGAAATATGCACTCTTAATGCTGTTAAAATTAATAAATATCAAACAGATAATTTCCTTTACAGAACTTCCTACTTTCAGTAGCCAGTGACTCATTTGATCACACACATACAAAGATTTGCAAGGAACAGATGAGAGGGGGATAGGTACTTGTCATTCACTGCTGGAAAAGAAACAAAAAACAGAAATTGATGGGCTGAGATTTCCTTCTGTGTTTATCTAACACAAAAGTAGCTCTTGAGTTTATATATTGACAGAAGGTTCTCCTTTTCCTTCTCCCTCAGGAGATTAAAATAGAGGGACTGCATTGCAATCTATTTCATTGTAATTGTATAAATAGATTTTCTACTAGGGAGTTATAGTGAACAAAATCAGTGCAGTGGTATGATTGAAAACATAACCAGCCTTTTAAAGCCTCAGAAGCATAGTACTCTGTCTTGGCTGTACTTTACAGAATCACAACCCTGAACATATTTGATATCATTCCAAGGCCAGTGAAGCATCTGATAAGCTCCATACGTAACATGGTTTCATCCCATTTTCTTCTACATTAGGAACAGTGTTTCTATGGTCTGCATTGTTTTCATAATCTCACTCATGCATGTAGGAGGTCGATATAGTAACAGTGTGGCAGAGCTAGCTTTATCAACTTCCATGTTGGACCTGGAGTTCTTCCCGAATTACAACTAATCTCCAGACTACAGAGATCAGTTCCTATGAAGGAAATGACAGTTTTGGATGGCAGAATCTATGGTATATCATAGTGTTTCAGGATTGCCAGCCCATGGCTAATAACTGGCAGGAGGATGGAGAGGTGGAGACAGGTGTCAACAGGATTGTGCAACACCACACCATTTTCAGCCCAAACCCCAGAGGTAATGTCCCTTCCTGTTTCTGGCTGGAAACAATGTCACTGTATTCCCAACAGTGCCCCTTCCCATTTTGCCTGATGCCCTATTGAGTGCGGGCGGCGGACGGGGGAGTGCCAGCAGGGGTTCTCCCCCCAGAGGTGAACAAATGGCAGCCCTACAGCCCTGGACAATTCTAGCAACCCTTACATGATAGAATTGCCCATTTCAGATAGCAAATGGTAGACTCCAGGTATGAAATTTTCTTTTGCATATAAAATGCCATACACACTAGCACAATAGGCAGTTTTTGTATATGTAGGGGATGGTGGGTTGTTTTTTGTATATGTCGGAAATATTTAATATAGAAGACTATTCCAAAATGTGATCCTTGAATGCTGTCCACCCACACCCTCACGTGGTGTGATCCAGAATACCAACTTAGGAGTCTACCATTCATTCCCATCTTATTATGTTGCATGACTCATTGCCCGGAGATATGGAAGGGGAGTGGAGCCTAAGAATGTAGGGTTTGGGGAGGGGAGGGACTTCAGTGTGGTATAATGCCATAGACTCAAGAGTCCAAAGTGGCTGTTTTCTCCAGGTGAACTGAACTCTGTCATCTGGAGATCAGTTGTAATAGCAGGAGATCTCCAGGCACTACATGTAAGCTGCTCGCTTGCGGGGATGGCGGGGTATAAGTAAAATTAAATAAATAAAAAAATAAATGGAGGCTGGCAGCCCTATGTATGAGTGAATCAGGTTTCAGCCCCTTCTGTGAATGTGCTGGGTTAGCATCTAAGCTTGTGACTGAGTGGCCAGTAGGGATGGGCATGAACCGGGAAAATGCAGTTCATGACAGTTCGTGGTTCATGGTGAACCCATTAACTGAACCACGAACTGAACTAAAATGGCCTTATACGAACTGAACTGGTTCATGAAGTTCATGATGGAGTGGAATGCCCCCCCCCCAGTGTGCTAGAGACTCCAAAATTATAGGGAATCTTCAGATGACTCTCCTCTACCTGCCCACCAAGTCTTGCGAGGATTAGACTTAGGAAATCCTAGTTATGGCCCCCCCAAAGAAGGAGCCCCCAGGAAAGTGGTTTTGGGGAAATCTCACACACAGCTTCAGTGTAGAATAGATCCTATGCAAGTTACGCACACCAAACATACAGGGAATCTCACCCTGTCACCTACTCCTCTACAATCTCTCAAAGTGGGGGGGCAGATTACATCCCAGTGACTGACCCCCCAAAACAGTGTCTCACATTTATAACCACCCACCCCTTCTGAGTGTGAACTGCTCTGTGTGCCATCAATGAAAGTTGGTGTGAAGGGCACTCGTCATGTGGGGAAGAAGAATCCTCCACCCACCCTTTGTGCCACAGGTTCCCAGTCCCCAAATCCATCCTGTTGGGCCAATGGAGGCCAGCTCTAGCAGAGCATCACTAGGGATCTAAAAGCCCCCTTCCCCTTATCTGTTCCTTGGGCTCTCCACAGTGGCAAAAGAGTTTTTGGCACTGCCCTGAGACACCTCTGACAGCAATGATTCAGAGTGTGGGGAAGGGAAATATCCTCCCCTTCCACATCCCGTTGGCTGTGGTGGTGACTTGAACCTGCTACCAATATCCTATACCCACAAAGGATCAGCTATGCGTAGCAATAAACCTAATTATGGGGTGAGTGACAGGCTGCTTCCAGGGCCCTGAAACCAAAGGAAGACCCAAAAAATTCCTGAACATGAGACAATGTCCATGGACATTGTGGCTTGTGGCCCTGGGAAGGATTGGCTGTGCACAGCAATCATCTCATCGGTGGAGCAAGTGATCAAGACTGGCTCTTGAGCCTTTAAACAAACGGGAAACCCTCCAAATCCCAAATGCACAATGTCATGTTCACCTCCTCCACCCCCCAAGCTGCAGCAGAAACAGACAGGTACAGAGCACACCCACCGATGGGGGTATATCATTCAACTCTGCACCTGGGTAAAGAGTGCTCCCATCCACTCACAGCCTCCTCATGGCTGAAACATACAGTCAGTGCCCAAGGAACAGATGGAAAAGCACGCATCACCAGAGTTTTGACAGGGGCTCCCAAAAGTAACCCCATGGCAGCTGGGAGAGTATAATGAATGTGCATACTCGGCCAAGACACTCACTAATTGATGGGGAAACAGAAAGGTTCAGGGCACATCCACCAATGAGGATGTATTATTTGATTCTGCAACTGGGTCCAGAGTACACCCATCCACCATAGCAAATACTTCTACTCCACGAAGAAACAGAGAAACATCGGAAAGACAGACCAGGAATCCCCAGAGTTTTGATGGGGGCTCCCCACAATGACACCACAGCAGCTTGCCAGGCACCCCAGCCAGACACCCCCTCAGGCCCAAACATAAAGAGCCCCTGGTCACTGCCCACCCTGGTGGTGAAATTTCTAGATGGTTCTTCACCATTAATGTAACACATTGTACAGATAAGAGATCATTTGTTGTGACTGTGAATTGTACAAATGCAATGGAAAGGGGTAGTCAAACAGTGGCTTTCTTGTTTTCAGGCAGATGATTGTAGAGGTGGATGTTTGCCGAGATGCTCCACCAAAGGCAAAATCATGGCATAGGTGGAGTTCCAGCAGGTGGCCATGTCCTAGATGAGCCAGTGTCTCATAAGAACATAAGAGATGCCAATGTTGGATCAGGCCAATGGGCTATCTAGTCCAACACTCTGCCACACAGTGGCCAAAAATACCAGGTGCCATCAGGAGGTCCACCAGTGGGGCCAGGACATTAGAAGCCCTCCCACTCCCTCCCCCTGCCTCTCACGCAGCAGATATGAAGACTTGATGCTACACAAGAAGTGGGCAGCCAGGTGCTGGCAGGTCTCGAGCAGGGACCTAAGATCCAGGGTAACAGCTTCCCAGGTGGGCTTCACAGTGCTCCCAAGCTCCAGAGCATCCCTCACCAAGGGAAGCATGCTAGCACCAGCATCTGTGTCCACGTAGAGATGGATGATGTTTCTGCTGCCCAACCACTCTCTCAGGCTACTCTGGATTGTGGTGGCAATGTTTGCCACGGTGTGGTCTGCATCCATCCCCTGCATGTGGATCAGAACCATCTTGTAGCCAGGTGGCAGGACTGTCCCCTCCTGGGTCCTGGGTCCAACAGTCCAGACAGAAAGGTCTTCCAGTTGCCACCTTTTGTGTCCGCTGGCCGCCACCAGGGGCCAGCGAATACCCCAGAGCTTGACTCTGGAAGAACAATGGGGACTAGGCTCCTGGTCTCTCCATGGATGGACCAATGGGACATTGGCGGGAGATTCAAATCCACCAATGGGACCTAGGGGGGTGTCCCCAGTTGTGTACATAGTTGGCCCACGGGCCATTTCCCTTTGTCCTTGTTGTGTAGCAGTGAAGCGTGCAGGATGCTATGCGAGCCGCAGTGGCCTAGCCATGCAGTTAAAACCCACTACACAATACCACCAGTGGACAGTGAGGGAGAGGTAGCCATGCTGCTGGCTGCTGGCTGCTGGCTGCTGGCTGCTCCAGAGGTCTGCAGTGAAGTGAACAGTCGAGCCTTCTGCTTTGGAGAGCTCTGCCTTGAACATCGCCACTGCAGAGTGGTGCATGGTGGGGAAGACTCACCAACTCATGGTCCTCCTCGAAGGGACAGAGTACCAGGGAGTCAGGTGGTAAGCAGCCAGTGAAAGGCTACATCCTCCATGAGGGAGAAGGTTTGGCCATCCACGGCAATCATCTTGCTGACAAAGTGAGTGACTGCTTCCTCTGCCCTCCCTCCTGCCCTTTTGGCTGGCACTGTTGGTGTCCCTGGGGGCATTACCTCTCGGAGGGTGGCCTGCCTTGGGGTCCCAACCACAGCACCTAGAATGCAGGGAGCTTGTCTTTGAGGGGCTGCTGAAAGGGAGTGGGCCCCTTTTGCCTCCCACTGGCTGCCACTCCTTCCTCCAGTGGCAACAAACTGGGTTTGCACCCAGTGCAGGTGCCTTTGGAGAAGAGTGGAGGACAGGTGCTGGGTGTTCCTGCCCCTGTGGACATGGGCATGCCACACCTGGCACTCTGCCACACAGTTCATTGGGGAGGGTGTGGGAGTATATCCACACGGGGGCCTGAAAACATGACCCCACAGTTGGAACTCGTGGGAGGGACAGTTTCTTTTTGGCGCTGGGCCAGAGAGGGGCCTACCAGTGACGGCAGCAGGAGCAGCAGGGAGTTGGGATGTGGAAGGGGAGGATGCTTCGCCCTCTGAATCTCTGCCATCAGAGTCTCCTCCTCCGAACAGTGTTAACAACTGCTCTTTGGGCAGTGCCAAAAACTCTTTCACATCCTGTGAGAGCCCCATGGATGAAGCAGAGGAAGGAAGCTCTGGGACCTCTGCTGATGACATGCTAGGGATGTTCTCTGGGGGGGCGGAGGCTGTGTTTGGTGCCCAGGGACAGGGCCCTTTGGCACACAGGAAGATTAGGGCTTCTTCCCCCCACTGCTGAGCATGAGCAGAGAGACTGGTTGGCTCAGAGCCTTGAGTCCACCTATGCAAAAAGCAAAGAGCAATCCCCTGCCCAGCAAAGCTGATTAATTTCTATTTGCTCTATTCCTCTCTGCAAAACCCAACAAAGAAGGGCTGAGCTTCAGCTTGGGCTTTATATAGTTTTCAGATCCCATAGAGTCGAATGGAAGCTCTGTTACTGGCAGCCAGCAGTGCCTGTCAAGCTTTGGAAGGCTCCAATTGGTGTTTCCAAGGCTGGATAATTCCACCCTTCACCATTGCAGACAGTTTGTCTGCAAAATGTGGCCATTCATGAACCACCATGAATCGCCACAAACAATGCTTTACGAATTGCGAAAAGGCCAAAGTTCATAATGAACTTTCATTTGTGATGCAGTTTGTGCCCATCCCTAGTGGCCAGGGAGTCGCTGCTTCACCCCTATATCCAATAAAGAACAGTTAACAGAGATGGAAATGGAGACCTCAAAGCAACTGGGTGAATCAGCCCTTAGATCTGGGCAAACAATTAAAGAACCCCATTAGGCAGCTTGGGTGGGAAATCCTGCAGGCATGACTGAACAGTACAAATAAGTTTGCATTGCCAGTAACATACCAAATATGCAGAGGACTGGGATATTAAAAGAATCCTATCAGAAAGTACTACTCATGAGATGTGAACTTACCTGTGTCTTACCATTATAAACACAGATTTTTGTATCATATTAACAGACTACTGAGCCTTATGCATGAATTTGCAGTGCTGCAATAATTGCTGCCTATTTAATTAAAATGTATGTTTTGTTTCTGTGCTCAAGTCAAACCAGAAATCCCTATTGTCCTCCACACAAGCGTAACAGGAAAGGTGAGTGAATTTGCTTATTAATAAATGGTTTTGTGTACAGTTACATTTCCTCTAGTCATCCAATTAAATTGGGGGGCGGGAACGAGTATTTGGTCGGGAAAACTCTGCAAATAAGGTGTGTGTGTTTGCAATTTCAGGAGGTCTCCAGGCCCCATCTGGAGGTTGGCAACTCTCTCCGATGCAGTGTGTGATATGTTAACAGTTACCCTTCTGCTCTCTACATAGGACAAACACCTATGTCAGTCCATACAGAAAAGATACACGCCTGACATTAAAAATTAAAAACCCAGCTCTATCTGATGTTGGGCGGCCGGTCGAACTCTGTCCCTGAAGATCTGCACCGGGCACTGCAGGCCGTGGCTGGTTGGCTCCGATTGAGCAGGCTGAAGTTAAACCCGGCGAAGATGGAGGTCCTGGGCCTGAGTCGCGGTGGTTTGGGGCTAGGGCTTCCGACCTTCGATGGGGTGCCTTTGGTGCCAGCACCGGAGGTTAGGAGTTTGGGACTGCTCCTGGACTCCTCGTTCTCAATGGAGGCCCAGGTGGCAGCCACTGCCAAGTCAGCCTTTTACCATCTGCAGCTGGTGTGGCAGTTGGTCCCCTTCCTCAACCGCAGTGACTTGGCCACAGTGATCCATGCGACTGTCACCTCGAGGCTAGACTACTGTAACGCTCTCTACATGGGGCTGCCTTTGTCGCAAATCCGGAAGCTGCAGCTAGTGCAGAATGCAGCAGCCAGGCTGTTGATGGGTCTTCCTAGAAGGGACCACATCCAGCCTGTGCTGAAAGCGCTGCACTGGCTGCCAATAGCGTACCGGATTTGTTTCAAAATGCTGATTCTTACCTTTAAAGCCCTACGTGGTCTGGGTCCAGCTTACCTAAGGGACCGCCTTTCCTCATATGTTCCCCCACGAGCACTTTGGTCCGGGACCCAACACCTCCTGGTAATCCCAGGCCCCAAAGAGGCCAGGCTGGCCACTACCAGGGCCAGGGCTTTCTCGGTGGCGGCCCCTACCTGGTAGAACGAGCTCCCGGAGGAGATCCGGGCCCTGCGGGACCTTGTGCAGTTCTGCAGGGCCTGTAAGACGGAGCTCTTCCACCAGGCGTGTGAGTAGGGGCCGCCACTACCATCACCATTATTCCATCTTTACCTGGCCCTGGATGAGGGAACATCAACGTTTCCCTGGAGCAGATGATGCTGAATTGTTGAAATACGCCATCTATGAAATATTATGTTGAACACCTAGAGCACTTTAGTCAATAACCTGTTAAAATTGTTTTTGTATTGTTGGGATTTTAAATGGTTTTATATGTTTTATAATGGCATTTGCCTCCACATAAGCCGCCCTGAGCCCGCATCGCGGGGAGAGCGGGGTATAAATTGAATAAAATAAATAAATAAATCACTCAGGACACTGTGTGGCTGATTTAAAAGTTCCATTCCTCAGTTTAAAAAACAAACAAACAAACCCTTAAAGGGAGCTGCCCAGTGTAAAACTGCCAAACTAGGGCCCCAGTCACACGGGAGGATTTGATCCACAAGAGGGATGGATCGGGAGCACATCAAGTGGGTGCGATCACACCGCAACATCTGGGAAGCGGCGTGCACCCGTCCTCGATCCATCTCTTCCGGTAGAAGATGCAGAGTTAAAATAAACCTGCAAAGCACTACTACCTACCGGAAAATCCACGGCACGGGTGGCCGTGTGATCACTGACGCGCCCGTCTCCCGCAGCATGCGAGGCCCCCTGCCGAACTACGCAGGCACACACATGTGCAGCTGACTCGCCTCGCTCTCCCATCCATGGCTTCCCCCTCACATCTGATCATGCTGGGGAGCATATGCGCGGCTGCTCGGGGGATCTATCTGATCCCGCTGCCACGCTTCTCTTTTGCTGCAGCTCTAAAAAGCCACACTTCCACCCTGGCTTTTCCTGCGGTGTAACCGGGGCCACAGTTTCATCAAGAAGTTTGATGTAGTCTTTCCCCCACCCACTCCCAAGGGCTGAACTGGGAGTTGTGATTGTTCAGGCATGTAGGTGTTAACAATCTTGATAAAGCCTAGAGTCCACAACCATTTCTACTGTTAACTGGCTTAGCAAAGCTAGATGAATGGCCAGTTACTACTAGTGTGAATACAGCTGCCAACCTCCAGGTAGGGCATGGAGTTCTCCCAGAATTACAACTGATCTCCTGGCTACAGATCAGTTCCCTTGGAGAAAATGTCTCCTTTGGATGGTGGATTCTATGGCATTATACCCCACTTCAATAGTTCCTCTCCCCATACCCTGCCTTCCCCAGGCTCTACCTCCAAATCTCCAAGAATTTTCCAACCCAGAGCTGGCAACGATAATTGTGAATGGTCTGTACTCTTTTTTTCTGACTTTTACATAATTACATTTTACCTTGTACTTCCTACATTTCATGGTCCTTAGACCCTGTTTGCTTGTTTGTTTTCCCCATGTAAATATTTGTCTACTAAAGACTCACTAAATTGCTTCTTAAGAAGTGGGCTTATAAACAAAGGTTTATGCTGGAATAAAATCTTGTTCATCTTTAAGAAGGCACTAGACATTTATATTTTTATGAGTCTAGGGGAAAATTTTATTTCTGGTCCAGTAATCCTACCAAACACCCCAAAAGTCAGAATAAGCCTTAGAAGAAGCTTTAGGTGCCCTGACCTGGATAGCCCAGCTAAACCCAATCTTGTCAGATCTCGGAAGCCAAGCCGGGCCAACCCTGGCAGTACTTGGAAGGGCGACTTCCAAGGAATACCAGGACTGGGACACAGAGGCAGGTTAACAAGCTACCTCTATGAAACATCCTAGCCGCACTAGGGGTTGCCTGAAGTCACCATGACTTCCAGGCTCGCAAGCACACACACACACACACATGCATACACACACTACTCACAAATATAGTAAAAAAAAGAAGCTGCAGGTGAACTTGAGCTGATTTTGTAGAAAATAGCAAGAGTCCAGTAGCATCGTAAAGACTAACAAAATTTGTGGCTGCATATGATCTTTCATGAGTCACTGCTCACTGTCTGAAGAAGTAAGCAATGACTCACGGAAGCTCATACCTTGCCACAAATGTTGATAGTCTTTATGGAGCTACTGGACTATTGCTCTTTTCTACTGATACATAGGAACTAACACACTAGTGTTGTGATCCTGATAAAAACAGACTACACTGAATAATTTTTAATTAAGCCTCTAAAATCAACATTTCTCAGATTAAAAACAAATGTTTTACACATATTATAATTTATTAAAAGCCAAGGTCTGCTCAGAATAGTTGGGTATGTGATGAGGGTATTTTGCTAAATTGGTTGTGCTTGAAAATAGGGGCCTGCTTGGGTAGCCTAAGAAGGAGTCCCTTTGAACCATGGTCCGTACCGCTCTATCTGCCTTCTCTTATCATTGCTCCTTTTACTTTCTGACCACAGAGAAAAAGTTAAATAAATTATTCACAAGGGGGATCTTTAAAAATCGAAGGCCTAATTTATCCAGATTGCTAGGAATTATGACCATAATTATGTTCTGTAGTTCAATCCTTACTAAGTTTAAATCCTGAACATAAAACAATATTTCACTAGTATGAGGATGCTGACAACTTCCTCAGGACCACATTTTAATCTAGGCAGTTCACCATTTCTCTCTTTCTGCATCAAGAATAAGATTCTTGTGATCTAATTACTCTCAAGACCTGTCAGCCAGGGCTCACGCCACATCCTCTGTACTTTCATACAAACCACATGTCAGACAAAGCCACTTCATTGTTTCCTAATAACTGTGTCAGCACTAATAACTGAGAGCCTTCATTTCACATATGACTCTGTAGAAAATGTACAGCCTGCTTAAGGGCCAGGTAATCCAGGTTTTAGTTATTTACCTGGAAATAACAGCCAGAAAATTTGTAAATCGATGGTATTCAGTGACAATATGAATAATGGTAGGATGTTAGAATCAACAGTCCAGAAGTCAATAACAGGATGCATTTAAATGTTATAAAGTTGCAGTTCCCAGATCCATTAACCCCAGAGCAGACCCTTTGCAGAAATCCCATGCAAATCTATGGGCTATATTGGCCTTCTAATTGTACAGCAGCAAAGCTAGAGTCAGTGGCTGTGTGCTTCAACCTTTATGTGACAAAAGAAGGACATTTCTGTTGGTACATTTTTGAACATGGCTTACTTTCAGAATGATGTTTCCTTTAGTTTCACTGAATTTAATGTAACATAAGTGACAGGATTTACGGGTGAGGTTAATCTCATGCTTTCCTACAAACTCTGCCCTGTGTATGAGCCGTGACTTCAACATGCCTTTTTGGTTGGAAGGGCTGCTCTTGTCTCCTCCTTCCACTCAATTCTACAGGAAAGAACTCGAAATTATGCATAATTTCAGCAAAGTTCTTCACTCAATGAAGAACCAAGGAAGAGGAGAAGTTAAGTATTCTTCACATATCACCAGTCCACTCCTCAGTTTTTCAACCTTTCATTCAAAGCCATGTAACCATTGCACTCAATGGCTGTTCAAAAATAACCTCAGCCCTACTTAATAGATAGGGTTTTCGGCCTCCAGGTAGGGCCTGAAGATCTTCCAGAATTATAACTCATCCACATATTACAGTTCCCCTGGAGAAAATTACTTATTTGGAGGGTGGATTCTGTGGCATTATACCCCACTAAAGTCCCTCCTTACCCCAAACCCTGCCCCTCCACAAGTTCCAAATCTCCAGGGATTTCCCAGCCTGAAGCGAGCATCCCTGTATCTAAGAACTGAACAAATCAGATACAAGACTAAAATAACAAGGATCAGAGAAGCCAGCGTATTTTCTTTAAACAAAAACAAAAGACAGTTCCAGCATTTATATATAAAGTTGCACTGATTTCCATCAATTCCCCCCTTAGGAGTTGGGAGTGTCTCTCTAAAAGGTGCTAGTACTCAGTTACAGTGAGAACCACCAGCACAACAAAAAAGCCCTGAGTATAAATATTATTAATTATCAGGGCTTTTTTTGAAGAAAATGCCCAGCAGGAACTCATTAGCATAATAGGCCATACCCAACAGCAGGAACTCATTAGCATATTA